AGAAGCATCTAGATCGCGCACCATCAGTATCGATGGAAATGGAAAGCTGCATGAGATTCGGGATGCGGATTGAACTACATGGAAATGGAAATTCATTTTCTATGTTTGTCTTTCCTTATGGATCGTTTTCTTTGTTGTTCTCTTTCTTCATTGTTTTCGTTTTCCCTACTGGTTAGCCTCTTGTTTTTTTTTTCGTTTTCTTTTTGAGTCCTCTTTTCCTTTTCGTTCTGCTTGGTTGTTTGTTTCGCTTGGTTTTGTTTCGTTGCAAATTCTATTAATATTATCTTATCTAATGACCCTCTTGTGCACACTTTCATTTCAAATTTTGAGTCAAACAAGTTGTGGTTCAAATGCATTTATTTATGCTCCTCCTTGCAAAACAAAGCAAAATATAGTATGGAATTGGCTTAAGGACATAGCAGACAATACCAATGGGGCTTGGTGCCTTATGGGGATTTTAACTCCATTAGAAATAGTGAAACAAAATTGGTGGTATCATGGCATGAGAGTTTATCCTCACTACACCAGAAATTTTAATCAAATGATTGATTATTGCAATTTAATTGACATAGAAATGGATGAGTCACAATATACATGGGAAACTAATTTTACAAAGGAAAGGTTGGATTGGGTCTTTACTAATGCCGATTGGAGATGTCAATTTGCTTCAAGTAGATTAAGTAATCTACCAGGCTTCGGATCATTTACCACTGCTTCTTAACACTAATATTTCACAATCTAGTGGCCCCAAACCTTTGAGGTTTGAGGCTATGTGGTGTCTTGACCCAAGTATCAATATTGTAGTAAATAGTGCATGGGAAATAAATGTTAGTGGGTCAAGAGCTTACCAATTTGTTAGAAAAAGAGATAATCTTGTGAGAGAACTCAAATCTTGGAATCAAAACCATTTTGGGAACATTAAAAGCCTCTAGCCTAGATGGTTTAAATGCCTCATTTTTTAAGAAATTTTGGACTATTATAGGGGATTCAGTCTATAAAACTATTAAAGCCTTTTTCACTCGGGGAAGATGAATAGAAATATCAATAGAACTTTCATTTCACTTGTCCCTAAATGTGAAAATCTAAAAGGAGTTAATAACTATAGACCCATTAGCTTATGTAATGTGGTTTATAAAATAATTTCAAAGATCTTACTACAAGATTAAACTTTAATGGATGATATTATCTCCCCTTACCAAAGTGCATTTGTCCCAAACAGACAAATTATTGATAACATTTTGATTGTTGATGAGGTTATGCACTTTATGAAGAAAAAGAAAGGCAAAGATGGGATTATGGCATGCAAAATTGACATTGAAAAAGCCTATGACATATTAGAGTGGAATTTCGTTGAAAAAGTTTTTGAGAAATTTGACTTCAAACAAAAAATGGATTAACTGGGTTATGGAATGTATTAAATCGGTTTTTTTTCAAATTCTCATCAATGGCTCTCCCATAAGAAATATAAGAGCATCTAGGGGCATCAGATAGGGTGACTTGTTATACCCATACATTTTTGTGTTATGTGCTGAGGCTCTCACAAGAAAGTTAAAGGTTGAAGCCTCAAATGGGGAAAAATTAATTGATTGTAAGACATCTAGAGGTGGACCTATTATCCCCATTTTACAATTTGCTTATGATTGTATTATCTATGCTAAGACCTCTCTCAATTCTTGTCTTAAAATAAAGGAAATTTTGGATAAGTTTGCTTTAGCTTTTGGCCAATTACCAAATTATTCAAAATCAATCATCCTCTTTTCTAAAAACATCCGTAATAGACATAAAAAAAAATCATGATTAAAATCTTCAAAATTCCTCTTGAAAAGAAAAATAAAATAAAAGGTACCCTGGTGCTCCTATCATTGATGGGAGAGTCTAAAAGGATGTTTTTAAATTCCTCAATGAGATAATGGCCAAAAAACTTGCTGGTTAGAAAAAAAGTACCTTTTCCCTTGAGAGAAAGCTTATTTTAGTTAATTCAACAGCGTCCATGATTCCTCAATTTGTTCTACAATCTTTCAAAATTCTCAATAATGTCATTAATGACCTAGAGAAAAATTTAGAGAGATTTTATATAGTCAAGCTCAAGAAACTCCAATCCCATCCACCTTGTTAACCAGAAGAGAGTTTGCTCCTCCAAGTCTACGGGTGGTTTGGGTTTGAAAAATCTCAAATGGATTGACAAAGCTCTCTTGGCAAAGCATGGGTGGAAAATCATCACAAATAAAGAGAACGTGTGGGTTAAAGTAGTAAGTGGAAAGAATTTAAGTAAATACTCTTTCTGGGAATTGAAGCTATTTCGAAGAAAGGTATTTATTGCAACAAGAGAGCTGCTTAGGAGGGGTATGAGTAGAAAATTAAAAATGGGAATCTCATTAAGTCCCGGAAAGAAACTTGGGTGGGTTCTAACCCCAATGAGTAGTGTGATTAACCAAGAGAGGAATGTTTGGAAGGAAGATCACATTAGAGAGTTGGTATTGGTTTCAGTTTGGAATCATATAAAGCCTCTCATAATTCTCTCAAACCATTATGGGGATAAGATAGTATGGAAGTTTGCTTTAGATGGTAATTTTTCTGTGAAATTTGCTTATAATGAAGAATGCCGAATTAATGGGGGAAATGAAAGAATAGACAATTTGTTAAAAAGTATTTGGAACCTTAAAGTCCCCAAAATTAAAGGTTTTTTTCTTTTTTTTTTTTTGTTTTTTAGTGGCAAGTTGCCCACTAAAAATAAGCTTATTGTGAGAGGCCTAAACATTGAAAGTAACTGTGACCATTGTGGTGAAGAAGAGAATGTGGATCATTTATTCCTTAATTGCAATTTATCCAAACAAATTTGGTCTACAATAAATACAAATATCCCAGTTCCAAATGGTAATGATTTGATTATTAATAACTAGTGCATCAGAATTTTTAAGTGGCAGAATCCTCCTGATGATCTCCTTTACAAGGAAAAACTTCTTGTTATTCTTTGATTTATTTGGAAAAATAGAAACGATAAATGCTTTAACAATAAAATCTCTTACCCACAGATTATTTTGGATAGAGCTTCTAACTATATGTGTGTTTTGGAAAATATCCAAAATGATGAAGCAAATGATGGTTGGTGTAATCCAAAACCTAGGACCATAAAGATAAATTTTGATGATTCTCGCAAAAATATTGGTTGGTGCTCGACCTAAAAGCTTATAGCATTGGTTTTACTTCTATCAACTTAGTTAGAGCGTAGGTTGCTTGGGAAGCCATCAACATTGCCTCCAACTTCAAGGATTTCCCAGTCGTGATTGAGGGTGACTCCAAGCTCGTCATCGATTGACTGAGGAAGATAGTGAAGCCCCATGGAGACTGGAGAACATCATCCAAGAATGCCTTAGTGCTTGTCACTGCTTCAACTCTAGCATCATCTTTCGTCATGCATATCATGAAGCAAATCAGACTGCGGATTGACTAGCACATAAAATTATTTCTGGTGGTTTTTATTTGTTTTTTTGTGATTTATGGGCTGAATCTAAAAGGCTTATTAGGACCTGTCTCTTATTGCAAATGAACTCTAACTGGAACTGTTTTAGTTGGAGCAGGTTTGTGGCGATGATTTAGGCATCACATCAACTTTGATCCTACCCGAAGTGTAATAGGAATGAAAAGAAGGGATTAAGATTTTGGCTTTCTAGAAATTTTAGGTAATTAAATTTCAAAATTATTTCTTATGTTTTTTAGTATTTCCTTTGGGAATAATGGATTTTAGTGTTCAGTTATTTTATTGGGAAAGATTGTGGTTTTGGCATTTTTGAAAGGGGAATAATCTCTATATTTGTTTTTTTTTTTAATTTTAAGACTCTATATTTGTTTATTGTACTAAAGGTTTAGTTGGAAATTTTAGTTTTAATTTTTCCGGTCTCAAGATGTTTTCTAGTCTAAGGGTAAATTTGTCATTTAAAAAGAAAAACATTATGATGGTGTTTGGAAGTGTGGGTGCTTTTTGGGACCGATTTTCAAGAAAAAATGCCCATTCTTTCAAGACCTGTTTTTTATACAAAAAAAAACGCTTCTGCCACGTAGGCAGTGAGCAACACTATGCTGTTTGGTAAGGTGATTTTCATCACCATTTTTCATGTATGTGCTGACAGGTAAGCACCACATAGGATACATGTCAGTCAACCGTTGGGGCAAATGGTTCACCGATGCATGAAAATGCCAAATTTAGTGTCCCGATTTACAAGACATGCCGGATTTTTTAATAAACGCCTGAACCAAACATTCATATATATGGGCATTTGTCGAAATGCTTAAGTGGATCCGGCGTGGTACCTTTTTTTTGAAAAAATGACCACAGTTCCTAACATCCCCTATATCAGCGTTTTCAATCAGAAAAGCTAACAAGTTACACTAATTATAAGGAGGTTTTTGTTATAGTCAAAATGTAGAGGAGTTTTTTGTGATTGTCAGAAATCCTAAAGGTGATTTTTATATTTTACTAAACGGATTTGGACTTAAGATTCAACAATCTGATTGGATTTGGGCCACAACCTCGTGTAAGTTGTAAGTTGTAACATGACGTCAGTTGTCTGCTTTAGGGGTGATCATGGTTCGGTAATCGAACCATGGGGTTATTTTTTAAACTAAAACGGAGTTATTGATAACCGAAATCGAATTAAAGCGAATCGGTTAACTGGTTGACCAGTTTGATTAACCATTGATTCGGTTCGTCAATTCGTTAGTTTTTTCTTATTTATAATATATATATAAAATATTATATTTTAAATATTAAATAATATATTATATTATAATATATACATACAATATATATTTATTAATTTATAATATATAAAAATATAATATATATATACACAAAAAATACATAATAAAAATATATGTATGTTGATCAATTCAATTAATCATCGGTTTTCTATTTAACCCATACCTTCAATTTTTTTAAAATACCAAACCCACCGATAAAATTAACCGAATTTTCGATGCGTTCGATTTTTCTGTTTTTCTTATTCACCCCTAATCTGCTTTGGCCGTGGCATACAACTATACATCTGTCTCCATTGTCTTCCGAGACTTGGAGAGTGCTGAGTGGAGACTGTCCAAAACGAAGTCAGAAAAATAAATCGGCAGTTGTCACGCCCTAGGTTGATCGCGACTGACTATTCGAAAATCGAAAGATGCTCGATTCCATGTTACGGAACTTGAGCAAACCTATAAAAAACATATCTAGATGCGTGAAATCACGGAATTTAAGTACCTATCTCGGGAATACACCGAAAGAAGCGGTCGATTGTGTTGTGATTGGAGCTGGGGTGGTCGGAATTGCAGTGGCAAGAGAGCTAGCTTTGAAGGGTAGAGAGGTTTTGGTGATCGAATCTGCTTCCACTTTCGGTACTGGAACCAGTTCACGCAACAGCGAAGTCATCCATGCTGGGATTTATTACCCTCCCAAGTCTCTTAAGGTACGAGTTAATACTAATAGATACCCATCTCGGATTTATTGTCTTTGGTCTTTGGGTTCTGTTTCATTCCCCCCCAAAAAAAAAGAAAAAGAAACCATTGCCAGACATCTCTCTATAAGGTCAGACTATTTAATTGTGCCATGGAAGGAAATGGGTTCAAAGTCCAAACCACTTGAACCGTTGGCCTAGATGGGAGCTATGAAAGAAATGAACCGAGACCTGTTCCTGAGTTTATGCTCATTTGCACTGATGTAAGTGTATGGAAGTGCAATTAAGCTGAGTGTACATTTTGGTTTGCCTTTGCTCCCAGAAATAAGTAGGAACCAAGGTTGTCATTTCAACCCAAGTAACGGATCCCACTTGAGTGAGGACTGAGGAGAATCGAGGATTGGGACAAAAATGGCGTCTGAAGGTTATGGAGGGGGCAGAGCAGGAGAGGGGGTCAATGGGAGAGAGGGAAACAGAGGGAAGCTTTTTGGGGTACCAAAAGAAAAGGGCGAGGAATCAACGGCTTCAGGTTAGGTTATGTGGACTGAGGAGTTTCTAGGAGTGTCGTTCAAGGGTCTTGAGGAAGAAAAAAATAAAGCTGTTGAGTCATGAGTGCAATTGAACATATAGAGCATTGGAAGAAAGGGGTCACATAAATGCCAAGAAGGGTAGATGAGCTAACAAGAAGAGCTGGGAGAGCCTTCGGTTCACTTGAGGTTTAAATGATAGGACAGGCAACCTTGAGGGTTCTGCTAGGCGTAGGAGGAGGAATAATGGAGTTTGCTAATGGATCTCATACAAGTTACCCATGGAAAACATTTAGCTTATCTCTTGGAATATCAGAGGTTTGTGCTTAGAGAAAAGGCGATTGTTTGTGTTTTCATCAAGCACTAGAAGCTGGATGTTTTGCTGTTATAGGAAACAAGGATTATGAAACGGATGCTGTCATCACTAAGAGTGTATGTGGGGATAGACTATTAGACTGGGATGCAAAGCCACTTAACAGGATAGCAAGGGTGATCATCACTATGGGAGAAAATGCAAATTGTCCTTGTATCTGTAGAATTCATCTTGGCTTTGCAAAGCCAGTTAACGGGATAGCTAGGAGCAAATGCAAATTAACCTTGTATAGAATCAGGGAACACTTGGTGATTGTAGAATTCATCTTTGCTGATGGTTTCAAGGGAATCATCCCTAATATCTATGGCCCAAATAGGGATGCCAATAGAGGCAGGACTATGTTAAGATCTATTGGAAACTAGAAGACAGTTTGTTAGCTCGAGGGCCATAGGTGGAGATTTAATACAATTAGGTTTGGAGATGAGAATGGGGATTCTTGGATAACCGGGGCAATACAAAGGTTTTTTTTTTTTGATGAGTAAAAGAACAATAAAGTACAATCTGGCTTGGTGTTAAGGTAGCACCTAACAACAGCAGCAAGTACATCAATAACATATTTTCAATTATCCATATCATAATTTTGAAATCCCACCACCTCCCATAAGCTTTCTCCTATGTCTACTCTCTTGACCTGAGAAAACTCAGGCAATATCAAAACCCAATCTGCAACAGATTTGCCAACAGCTGCCACCAATTTGTCCAGCTTCCATTCCTTATGTTCAAAAAGTCTTCTGTTCCTTTCCTTCAATACATTCCAGCAAATGGAAAATGGAAGACAGCTCTAGATTATTCTGGCCATCTTTTCTCCTCTGATTCTCACCACACTCCTTACTGTTCAATAAAGTGGAGGTGTGGGAGGTGATAAAGGAGATAGATGGAGATAAATCACCGGGGCATGATGGATTAAATTGGAAGCAGTCTCGTTCAGTGTTTTTCTTTTTTTTTTGGATAAATGAAGAATTTATTAGAAGAAGAAATCAAGAGCAACCATTACAGGAGACACTTGGAGAGGCACGAGCTGCGACCTCTCCAACCCATCAAACACTAAAAAGGATTACATCTGAGCCCAATACAATGCTCCTCGGTTGCCCCTTGCTTGGCTAAGCAGTCAGCCATAGCATTGGCGGATCTCCCTACCCATTGTATTCTAACATGCAAGTTTCTCGTCAAGCATTTGAATCTTTTAAGTTCATTTCTGAAGCACCAAAGTGCAGTCTCTGGGTTCTGTAACCACCCCACAACCACCTTAGAATCACCTTTTATTAGTAGTTGCTCCACTCCTATATGTATAGCAAGCTGTACCCCTTGTTGTGCAGCTAATAGTTCTGCCCTCGTGGAGTCCCCCTCACCTAATGGGCCTGAAAATAGAAGAGCCACAGGACCACTTCCATTCCTTATAACCCCTCCCATCCCAGAAGGGCCTGGGTTGCCCAGGCTACTCCCATCAAAATTTAATTTCAAGAAGCCTTTAGGTCGGGGTACCCATCTCATGTGCATCTTTGTCTTCAATGAGGAACTGCTTGCCACTTCTACCCAATGCCTCCACAGGTCATTAAAAGAAAACCGCTAAAATAACTCCGAAGATTTTAGCCACACTATAGCCTTGTATGGGATACATTCCTTCAAGTCTTGTTGGCTTTGCACCTTCTTTTGGAATATTCTGGCATTCCTTTCTTCCCACACTATCCAAAGCAGTGTTGCTTCCCTTGAAACCCGCCACATTATTCTTCCTCTTCGATGGCGCCAAGCAAAGGTAGAAGGGTCAAAAAGTAAGCTTACATCTGCTGGACTATTCCACCTGCATCCAAAAATCAAGAAGAGCCAATCCCACAAATCTGCTGTAACAATAAAGAAATTGGTAAATGGTTGCAGTCCTCACCATGGGATCTGCAAAGGGTACACCAATTGGGTGAAATGTAGAGATAGGGCCTTTTCCTTTGTAGATTACCCAAGGTGTTTACTTTCCCATAAAACACTTCCCAACAAAAAGCCAAGACCTTAGGGGGAACAGGCTTGCACCATACCTCCTTAAAAGGGAAAGGAGGAGTAGACATTGGACAACAGAGGGCCTTGAAGAAAGAGGCACAAGAAAATCTACCCGAGGGCACAAGGTTCCAAAACCTTTTATCTAATTTCATGGGGCCCAAACAAAACTTTTCAAGGGTACTCAAAAGGCAAGAGAGCCTCACAATCTCTTCACCCCTTAGACCTTGTCGAAACCCAAATTCCCAAACTAGAGTCAATGGAGATTCCAAAGGGGAGAAAAAAGAAGAAACAAGCTCTTTCTTGTACTTTCAATGATCAAAATCCCAGTTAGGGTTTCTAACATATTGGAAAAGATGATGAGAGACTTCCTTTGGGAATCGGGAGAAGAGAAGACAGTGGTGGCTTGGGTCTCGGGAACATTAGAAAAAAAGAATTTGGCCCTTCTAGGGAAATGGCCGTGGAGATTCCCATTAGAGAAGGAGAAATTGTGGGCCAAGATAGTGGCAAGCATACATGGACTGGAGCTGAATGGATGGGATGTGGGAATTCGAGCTAGGACCACAAGCACTTCACCTTGGAAAGCCATCCATGAGTTACCAATTTTTTCCCCTCTTATCAGGTATGATTTGAATTCAGGCAATTCCATAAAATTTTGGGAACATACTTGGGTGGGGGGTGCCCCCTAATGGACCAGTTTCCTTCTTTGTATGCCCTATCTGACTTTAAAAATGAGCCAGTTTCCTCTTTCATCACCCCTTCCTCTTCCATCTCTAGTTTTGGGTGGAATTTGGGTTTGCGAAGGGCAATGAGAGACTTAGACCTTGATAATATCTCGAATCTCCTTCAGCTTCTGGACAATATTTTCTTAGACCCTACTAAGGTGGACTCTAGAATCTGGACCCCCACCTCCACTAGTTCTTTCTTCTGTGCCCCTTTCTTCAAAGTTTTAAACCAGTCAACTAGTCCTATAGCCCTTCCTTTTCCTGTTAATGAGGTTTGGTGTAGACCAATTCCTCCCAGGGTTGGTAGTTTTTGCTAGGAAGCCTTTTCTGGAAAGATTCAACACTAGTGATCTACTCCGAAAGAAAAGACCCAATATTTGCTTGTCCCCTCACTGGTGTGTTCTTTGTAAAGCTGATGGGGAGATTGGTTTTCATCTAATAGTGTCTTGCCAATTTGCTAAGTCTATTTGGGAGTGGGCTTTCTCCCTATTTGGGCGTAACTAGAGCCCTCCATTAAATTTGCATAATATGTTTTCCCCTTCTTTTTTCAAGTGGCATATGAAAAGGGGAAGGGTTATGTGGAGAGGACTGAGGGCTGCGGTTTGTTGGTCCTTATGGGAAGAAAGAAACTCTAGGATATTCTCTGAAGTAAAGAGAGGTGCTGAAGAACTAAGGGCGTTGATCCTTATAAGGATATTCCCTAGAGCTATTCACAGATTATACAATGGATGACATGTTAAGGATTTGGGGTGAGATTGCTAAATGTTCCCAGACCAAAATAGTGATGAATGTGAATTGGACCCCCCACCTGCAGGTTTCATAAAATTAAACTTTGATGGAAGTTGCAGAGGGAATCTTGGACAATTAGGGATTGGGGGTGTTTTCAGGGATGAAAATGGGGTTGTCTTAGCCATGTTTTCAGGCCCAATTGGAGTGGGTGACTCTCTTAGAGCCGAGATCCATGCAGTTATGGAAGGAATCCAGAAAGATAGGGAGATGAATATTAACAAACTCATAATTGAGGGGGATTCAGAGGTGGTGGTAGGATGGCTGAATAAAGACAATAGTGGTTTATGTCATCATAGTAATGTGAGGAGGAAATTTAGATTGCTGGTTCGAGGAATGGAAGTTAAAATTATTTGGGTAAAAAGGTCAACTAATTCTTTTGCTGATGGGTTAGCTAAACAAGGAGTGGAGAGGGAGTCAATGTTTTGGGCACAACTGTAATTTTATTCTTCTTTCCCTTTCTCTTTCTCTTTTTTCTCTTTTCTTTTCCTTTCTTGGGTCTCAACTGTATTTGGAAAATAAGAAAGTTTGTCTTCCTAATTGTAATTTTTATTGAAATTACGTAATGAATTGTGTTATTGATAAAAAAAAACTTTTTCTTGTACCGGGAGATAGTGT